ATGAACCCTATCCTTAAATGAAGTTTGATATGTTCCTGAGCCATTTTTAGTTGGCATTGTTATTTCCCACTTACGAATTTATCCTATAAGATCGACTCATGACACAGGCAGCTGACATCTAGAATATTCTCTGTTTCTTATAACATCAATATGTTTTGTGTTATAATTAGGAATAACAAATCCAAATAACTCATATCCTAAATTATTAATATGGTTCATGTTAATTTTTGTTCTCTGCTTTTCTGGGAAATAAACTACAGGAATGCCACTTATACCAGGAATTGTATTAAAAATATTTTCAAGGCCGGGCACACTGGCTCACGCCTGTAATCCCAGCACTTTGAGAGCTCAAGGCAGGATGATCACTTGAGGTCAGGAGTTCGAGACCACCCTGGACAACATGGTGAAACCTTGTCCCTACTAAAAATCAAAAATTAGCCAGGCGTGGTGGCACACGCCTGTAGTCCCAGCTACTTGGAAGGCTGAGACAGGAGAATCGCTTCAACCCAGGAGGCAGAGGCTGCAGTGACCCGAGATCACACCATGGCACTCCAACCTGAGTGACAGACTGAGAGACTCCATCTCAAAAAAAAAAAATTCAAAATCTGTCTTGGCTTAGAACAGCCCAAACGCCATCTCCCACCATTTTTCTAGGGTGATCTGTTTAGGGTAACCACTCCTAAGGTCTTGTGAGATTGTGAACAATCAAAGACGTTGTAAGACTGTGACCTTTGTATCTCATTTTAATTAGTTAACCCAAGTTTCATCACTCTTAATAGGGAAGGGTAAGAATATCTTATGAGTAAAGGAATAGGTGCACACGTTTTAGAAGGAAAAATCCATCAACCTAGTTAAGCTGTTAACTAATGTAGCTAGTTCTCATACATGCCAGTTAATGGAGGTTTTCATATAGCTATGCTGATATTATATTACCATTTTGGAATCTTAGACAAATATAGGATAACCAACTTGTCCTATTTGCCTAAGGACCAGTTTTAGCACCAAAAATCTTGTGCCCCAAATAAACCCTTTGGTTCTGAGCAAAGAGGATAACTGGTCACTCTAGCCAAATGAGAGCTTAATTTCTTGCTTCTCAAATTGTGGTCCTCCACAGCAGCACAGGCATCACCTGAGAGCTTGTTAGAGGTGCAGAATCTCAGATCCAAATCCTAGACTTACTGAACTTAAATCTGCCTTTTTAACAAGACCCTCAAGTGACTCATAGGCATATAAACCTTTGAGAAGCACTGCTTTGACTCAGTTGGAAAATTCAGAATGCTTCTCGGTAAAATTAAGCAAGTAATCTTTTTGTCTTCCCTTTACTGGATTTTGTCCACCCCCACACCCTCGGTTCTGAGTACCCCAGAAATGTCACGTTGTCCTCTTATGGTAATCTGCTAATAGGGCCTGCCCCCTTGAAATGTTTCAACAGGGATCTTTTAGGAGGAAAATGGAGAAACTAGCAGGAATGGCTATGATGATGAGAATTTCAGGAGTCAATGCAGGTGAAAATTGTGGAAGAGGTAGGCTTCTTAGTACCCCTCAAATCACATCACCATATAATCATTTATTCTATCCAAGAGCAGAGAAAACACCGAGTGAAGTTTAAGATGGTTCCATGTAACTTTGCCTTACTTCCCAAAACTTTAGGTGTGATCTAGATGTCACAAGGAAAGATTCATAGCTAATGATCAAAACGAAGAACAGTAAGGAATTCACTAAGGATCTGCTGAAGTTATCTATTATCAAGATTAATCATTATGTTTTATTAAGTGACAAGTTTGGTTTTCACTACAGTCTCAAGTGCCCAGGGAAAAAAAAAATATGTTCAAATTCCAACTGTGAGAAAGTGGCTCAGGGCTATAATTTCTCAAGAAGGACTCTGGCTCCTTCAGTATCCTCTGTTATACTGTGATTAAAGTGAAACCCCCTTTGCAAAATTATGACTGAGACAGTGAAAGAGATCTAACTTAACTGACTCCATCTTGCTTCTAACCTCTAAGCTGTCTTTGTTCATTCCTGGGCGTAGGCTGAACCAACTTTGGGAGAAACTTAGTTTATAGTTTATAGTTTAAACAAAGACGGTAACAGCCCTTTCCCAAAGCAGACCTCCTTCTTGCCTGGGGAGTAGATTGCCTTTGTAGGACTAACATTTGCTGCAAGATTATAAATTATGGTTTAGGAGTCATAAAGCTGGAGGCTACAAGATTCTGACCCTCCCTAAACTGCTCCTAAGATCAGTGCTTGAGCTATTTTGCAGCCCCTGCACTTGATGGATCAGCTGGCACCACCTAGATCAATAAACTGGCTCATCTGATCCTGTGGCCCCCACCTAGTGCAAGAAGACAGCTTCAACTCCCTATGATTTCATCCCTGACCAATGAGCACTCGCAGATCACTGGCTTCCCCTGACCCACCAAGTTATCCTTAAAAACTCTGCTCCCCAGATGCTTAGAGAGACTGATTTGAGTAATAATCAAACTCCGCTCTCCCGCACAGCCAGTTGTGCATGAATTACTCTTTCTCTGTTGCAATTCCCCTGTCTTGGTGAATTGGCTCTGTCTAGGCAGCAGGCAAGGTAAACCGCTTGGGCAGTTACAAAAACCTTTCTTTCTGAGACCAGAAATGCTTGCCTTCCACAGTAGGTAGATAAATAGGGCTATGATTCATAGATTAGTTTTTTTCCTTGTGGCAGGAATTAATTATGCATTCAATTCTCTAACTTTTTTTTTTT